GTGGGGAGTGGAGATCATTCCAGTGATCCAGGTGAGAGGTGATGCAGGCGATGGTGGAGAGGGTGAGAAGGGACCTGATTCCTGGGATATGTCAAAGGAAGTGCTGCAGGATTTGCTGATGGAGTAGGTGTAAGGCCTGAGAGACAGGAAGATTCCAGGGTGCATAAAAACTATTGGAAAAATTAGAGAAGGAAAGGGAGAAAGCAGATGAGTTAAAAATAATAGTATTTTTTCACCTTTATTGGGTGCTTACTATGCATCAAGCATCACGCTAAGTTCATTATCTACATTACATCACTTAATCCTCCCTACAACCCCAGTTTACAATGGAGGAACTGAAGGTAACAGAGGGTAAGCAACTTGCCTTTCATGGAGCAAGTGGTGGGTCAAGGACCGGGGCCCATGCAGTCTGGCTGCAAAGCATGCACCCTAACCCCTCCACGCGATACAACCTCTATTTCCTCTGAGAAGTAAAAGGTTACCCAGAGTTGGGGGACAGAGAGCCCAAACTGGGGATTCAAACAGAATGTTGACTGATTAATTGAAAAATATGCATAAAAGATTTAAATAAATAATAACACAATTGTTGACGATGCTTTCTTTAGGGGAGTGGTTGTTGTCGCTTGGGCCTCACCCTCCTGCCTGGGCCATGTCTTGATGAAGAAAATGACAGAGCTGCCATCTTTCTGGACCTCTTCAAAAGTGGTGTTCATCACTGAGGTATCCCCATCACTGTGGAATCCCTTCAGCTGCCACAATTGGACTGACTCCCAGCTCCCAGTCCTATGAGATACACATTCCCTCCATCTTGGAGCCTTTCAAGGCTCCTTGTTTAGCATAAACGCTGACCTGGAATCGAGTGGGTCTGCAAGATGGAAATTGAGTCATGGCATATTTATTAAGCTGAGCACTGGGCTTGGCACTCAGAGGGACACCAAATTAATTCATGACACAGCTCTTGCCCTTGAAGGGCTTACAGCATTGGTTTGGCTGGGGGGACCACCCAACATCCATTAGGATGGAGAAACCAAATCTCCACTTTGGGTTCATTATGCTGCACAAACTGACAGGCCAGGAGACGAGAAGGGCCTCGGTGCCTGTGGAAGGCCTGGGTGGCTTGCAGCCCCCCAGCTTGTGGTGCATTAACTCCACGAGCAGCCTGGCTGCAGAGTCAAGGTGGCTGTTTGTTCATAAACATTGTCATTTCACTGGGACTGCTATTTCATCTTTGAACCTTGGCTTCAAAGAACACTGACCTTATTCCTGTAGTCTGCCTTTCTTTGAAGCGTATGGCTTTGCCTTGCAGATTAAAGTGAAGACATTCATCAAGCAACAGATCTGGCCAACCGCTCCCCAAACTCAACCCAAAACAAAGCCTTGAAAGGCTCCAATCACAGCGGCAGGGGAGCAGCCGGAGATCAAGGCTCGGAGCAGGGTGCTTTCTCAGATCCCGTAAGGCAGCTCTGGCTCCATGAAGTGCAGCCCTTTGAACTTTAGGCAACTTTACCCTGAGAGTTGGTCTATCTTTGCAGAAAGGGGTGAGTTACTGCAACGTTCCCAACCAGACTTGTTTATCTTATTTAAAGCAGGCATTGTTGTCAATGAGGCCAGCGTGATGATTCACTGTGTGCTTTTGAATTCTTCAAAAGCCATGTCAGGCTGAACCATCTGAAACTTGGCTGATGATTCAGTCAGTTTTCTTTTTTATCACTTTCTTTTGTTAGTTCCTTTGAAAAGAAACTGTCCGATCTTTCTCCCTGATTCCCCTTAACTTGACTCTGAGAACACAGACTGAACATGTACCCTTCTCTCATTTCTTTCTTTTTTCTCTTAAGATGGCAAGAAGAGTGAAGTGAGACCCTTTAACTGGGAGGTTAAAAATAATGACCAGGTAAGAGAGAGAACCAAGGGAACTATCTCTCCCCTCAGAGGAAGAAAAACTGACGATAGATAGCTATCAAAGTTCTTATGATCATGTCTTTAAATGTAACTTTTCTGCAGATCTTTTTGGTCAGATAAACAGAGTTCTGTCTGTGATGAAGCGGTAAAGCCATCCAGAGGTGGGAAGGAAAAGATTGTCAAGTTGGGGACATGTTAATCAACGGACGCTGATAATATATACACTACAGGGCTTAAGAAATTAGTGATCTTTATTAAGACATAGGCTGATTTTCAGGGTAACTTTTTTCTAGTTATTCATCTTGAAAATATGACCAATGGATAATTCTGGTCATCATAGGACAATTCATTTAACTGGCATTTTAGCTTTAGTCTCAAATAATTGTTTTCCATTAAGAAATGCACTTAGTTAAGAAGATCATTAAGATGACTTTGAGAGAGTTCCAGTGGTTCCGGACCAGTTTTTTCACACAACTGGACAGCTCACGTGGGAATGGAGACAGGTCTATTTCGAGTTTCAGCTTTAGAAGGTTTAAAGATATCTGCTTATTCATATCTATATCCATATCTCTTAGTTTACCACCAACATTTCCCCAAATTCAGGTGGGCCATGTGACTAATTTTGGCCAATGCATGGTAAGCAAGGTGATGTGTCACTTCCAGGCTGATGTTCTTTCTCTCTACCATGGAGACCGTGGAGGCCAGGTGCTGAGATGGCCAAGCCTCAAGCTCGCAGAAGCCTGAGTCACTTCCCACGGAGATGAAATGTGCAGGGAGATGTCCGACTTGTATTAGATCTGGTATTAGATCTGCGAGCAAGAAATAAACCTTGATTCAGTTAAGTCACTGAGATTCTCAAGGTTTATTTGTTACACTGGCATAATTTAGCTTATCCTGACTAATCCAGGACCTTGAAGGAAATCTAGTTTTACCTCACCTGCATCACAAGAATCCTTCCTACAGCTTCTCCAAGACATAGTCCAAATACTTCTTGAACACCTCAGGAATAATACCAAGTAATGTAGCAAGCAATTATACAATGCTTACTATAGATGGAATTGTTTTCAATCACAATGAAGCATTTTATATGTCTTATTTTACCTAATTCTCACAAAAACCTTAGTTCATCAATATCCCTTTCCTTATTTTACAGCTGGAAGAACTGAAGCACAGACAGGTAACTTGCTCAGGGTTGAGCAGATCAGTGAAATCACTTGGCTAAGACCACACAGCAAGTTAAGTAGTATCCCAGGAGTCAAGTCCAGGCAGCTGCTTTTGGTTTATGCCCTTAAAGCATTGCACCATGGATGGACTGGATTCGCATTTCCTTTTTTTTTTTTTAATAGATCTTTATTGGAGTATAATTGCTTCACAATACTGTGTTAGCTTCTGTTGTACAAAAGTGAATCAGCCATATGCATACATATATCCCCATATTCCCTCCCTCTTGAGCCGCCCTCCCACCCCTCTAGGTCGTAGCAAAGCAAAAGAGAAAAACAAATACCACATGCTAATGGATATATATGGAATCTAAAAAAAAAAAAAAAAAAAAAAAAAATGGTACTGATGAACCTAGTGGCAGAGCAGGAATAAAGATGTAGACATAGAGAATGGACTTAAGGACACGGGGAAGGGGAGGGGGAAGTTGAGGCGAAGTGAGAGTAGCATCGACATATATACAGTACCAAATGTAAAATAGTTAGCTAGTGGGAAGCAGCCGCATAGCACAGGGAGATCAGCTCGGTGTTTTGCGACGAATTTCTTTTTCACACGGACTATTCAATAAGACACAGAATCATAAAACCCAAAAGACATGGCTGGAAATGACCTGAGAGGTCAGTCAGTCATTGCATTTTACATAGAGGAACAAAGTCACCCTCCAAGCCATTTTCTTGCTTTAGTGAAAAAGAAAAGTCTATCCTTTTCAACCCAGGGACCGAGGAGCACGGGGGCTCAGTGGAAGGGCTTCAGGGACCATTGGTTTGGAGGTACGTAGAGACACAACATCATCCGCACCAGCCCTGTTTTAATCTCTGTTTTATATATAGTAGGCTTCTGGGTAAAACGTGTATGTGAATAAAGTATTCTGCTCTTTTAATAAATTGAAAAATGATGGATCTCTCCATATTTCTACTGAAATAGTAGGCTTGGAACATTGCACTGGACAGTTTAGGGTTTCACATAAGCTGAGAGGTGGGTCAGGGCACACGGATTGTATAGTCCAGTGAGCAGGTCTGAGGCCAGGGTAATTTGCTGCTTTTACAAACACACTCACTAGACTGCCTGACAGCAAGAACTGCCCTAGCCATCACTGTCCCCCATTGTGATAAATAGCAGAAGCTCTATAAACTGTATATGAAAGATGGAGAGTTCCGAGAGCCTTTGATGAAACCATTTTTCAAAAAAAAGGTTAAGTTCATTTGAGTTGAGCAAAGTAGCACACCTTGGCTGTGGTGAGCCAACATCCAAGAAATGGCTGGTAAGTTATCGTCGTGAGTGTTTTGTCCGTATATTCTTAAATGGGCAGTGGTGACTTTCTTCTCCCCAGCTCCTGGCTGGTAATAAATGAATGAATGAATGAATGAATGAATGATGAGATAGATGGGTGGGTGGATGAAAAAAACGAATATTAAATTGACTAGTTTGTTCCCAGGGAAACACAAGTGACAGTTCCAAGAAAGCACAGGCAAACACACACCAAGTTTGGCTTCATAAACAAAATTATCCACATTTGCTGATCACATTAAGAGCAATTAGAATTAGAAAGCTTTCATTGCTTTAAAAGAGCATCCTCTGCTTTTTTTGTGTGCCAAGAGCAAAATGTACTATTGATGTGCATATGGCTTGATTTACAAATTGGTTAAGATAAAGGTGGATAGGGAGTTCCCTGGAGATCCAGTGGTTAAGACTCTGCACTTCCACTGCAGGGGGAGTGGGTTCAATCCCTGGTCCGGGAACTAAGATCCCACATGGCACGCGATGCGGCCAAAAAAAGAAAAAAAAAAGACAGAAATGTATATTTGAAAAGGGGGGAGGTTGATGGGGCAGAAGGGAGACAGGGAGAGGTCTAGGAAAGGAATTCACGGGAGATGTCCTCTTACCTTGCATGGTCCCATCTAGTCCCATGATGAATTTCATTGCTCTGATGACTTGCTCTGCTATCGGGGGGCTCATGGAGGTGGCATAAGCAGCGCTATGTGAGTGAGCCCGTAAATAATCCACAAGGTCCTTTAATACAGGAGGGAAATCCAAAAAGAAGGCAAATAAATCTCAGTGTTAGTGGCCCCATCTCCACCCATCATAGCACAAGACATTTGATTCTCGAGTGTGGTCTGATTTTCAATGGGCATCACCAAACTCTTTATTTTTTCTATCCCTTCTTCTTAGTCTCTCCCTAAACAACCTAGAAGGTATACAAAAATGGGTTGCTGCAAATTTGGAGTTGAGTTCTGTAAGACAAAACCAGATGTGTAAAGGAAAAGTGGTTTCCTAGACATTTGTTTGGGTACCTAGCCCACACAAGTACTGGTTTAGTATTCAGGAGAGTCCAAAGAAAAATCCGGGATGTGTTTTTTGCCCTTGAGCATATTACATTAGCTTGTGCCCATGGAGGAGTAATGGCAGGAAAAATTACAAGACATGCAGACTAGTTCATGCAGCGGGGCTACCAGATGGCCGAGGAAGGAGAGGGGATATTACCAGCGGGAGTCGATAAGGGAGGCTCCAGTGAGGAAGTAGGATTGTCTTGAAGAAAGAAGACAGACAAAGATAAAAAGAAAACTTTCAGGGGAAGGGAGTAGCAGAAGGGAGAGGAGAGAAATTAAACCAGTGTGGAGGTGAGGACCAGATAAACTCTAGTTGTGCCTTGAGCAGGAGACAACTGTTGGGATTTTTGTGTAACCCTGTTTGGAGCGCTGACCCACTGCAGGATGCTGGCCCGTACAGTGGTAGTAATGATTCTCCACCTGCATGTCTGACCCCTGAGGCCAAACCTGTGGTCCCAGGTAAGCATACTGAAAGCCTGAAGAATCTCCCATCCCCTCATTCTACAGCAATGGTGGGGGACTCAGAGCTGGTACCTGGAGGCACTCAGCCCTGGCCAGGCAGACCATCCATTGGCCCACCTGTCCTGACTCATAGCCCAGGACCCTCGGGGCTGTCCTGCAGAAAAGCTAGTGGGCCCCACTGCATTAGCAGTGGGGTCTGTAAAGCATCAGCCACCTTCTCTTCCAGGATAACGAGACAGCTTAGGATCCCACTTAGGATCTGCTCTGATCATTCCCTGGAAGATGAACTGGGGAGATTTCTGCTTTGAGCAGGCCCATCTCATCCTAACTCCCCTTCACCGGCCACATCCACTCCCACCTCTGCGCCTGGGACTGTGCCTGCCTGTCACTTTTCTCCCTCGGGTTATGGGTGTCGTGTTTGCTCCCAACCATGGGTTGTTACAGAAGCATTTTAAATGTACATAGTTTATCTTCCTATGAACTAGTAACTAAAGTTAATAGGTAAGTAAGTAGAGAGTACCTAAAGTTACTATGAACTTTCCTAAACGTTCATAGTAAAGTGAGTGGCCTGCCTTACAGGTGGTTGGTGACATGATGCCTCTACCTGGCCCACAGGGGGAACAGGTAACTCCATCCTGTCCTTCCTGCTTCCTTCAATATGTCCTTCATCCTAAATCCCCTCTTCCAAGCTCCTGCTTCCCCGACTTCCTTTCTCCTTCATTTCACACTCTTCATTCCTTTTTGTTGGTTTGTTTCTTCTTTTCCATCCCCATCGTTTCTACTCTGGTTCCCGCTCTCTCTCTCTCTCTTTTTTTAACATCTTTATTGGAGTATAATTGCTTTATAATGGTGTGTTAGTTTCTGCTTTATAACAAAGTGAATCAGCTATACATATACACATGTTCCCATATCTCTTCCCTCTTGCGTCTCCCTCCCACCCTCCCTACCCCACCCCTCTAGGTGGTCAGAAAGCACCGAGCTGATCTCCCTGTGCTATTCAGCTGCTTCCCACTAGCTAGCTATTTTACATTTGGTAGCGTATATATGTCCATGCCACTCTCTCACTTCATCCCAGCTTACCCTTCCCCCTCCCTGTGTCCTCAAGTCCATTCTCTAGTAGGTCTGCATCTTTAGTTCCCTCTCTTTAGTTATTTTAATTTAAAATTCTCCATTCAAATCCTTTTTCTTTCCATTTCTAACTATTTCTTTCCTTCCTTTCTCTCTCCTTTCTTCCCTCCCTCCCTCCCTCCCTCCCTCCCTTCCTCCCTCCCTTCCTTCCTTCCTTCCTCCCTTCCTCCCTTCCTTCCTTCCTTCCTTCCTTCCTTCCTTCCTTCCTTCCCTTCCCCTCCTTCTCTCCCTATCCCCTGCCTCTTCCCTCCTTCCATCTTTCCATTCAGCAAGTTCATACAAGGATGTGCTCTGGGCTATGTTCTGAATGCCAGAGCCCAAGAAGAGGAGGAAATTAGAAAGCCTAGTCCCTGGCAGCCATTCTCCACTGACATTAAAATCAAAATTAAGTTTCTGTCTATTATTTTGTTTAGTGAATCTCATAAAAACAGTGTTTTCACTGTATCTGAAGAGGATGTGTGTGACGTTGGCCTGACTGAAGGCACTGGCCACATGGTATCCAGGACGTTCACTTTGACGATGGAGGATGTGGCAGGAGGGTCAGGGAGAGAGAGGCGATCATTTTCCAGAGTAGCCGCAGCCAAGCTGCTCTTCGCAGTCCTTCGTGAGCAGCAGCAGGCGTTTTCTTTCTCTGCTGAGAGCTGGTGCCTTCCAGCAGGTTGCTGGGGAAACCAGTGAAGAGGGAGCGGGTGGGATGCAGGAAATGGGATGATGGGGCTCATGTGGTCAGGAAAGATCTGTTTTGAGGAGATGATCTGACCTTGAAGGATGGGTAGCTTTGGATAGAGGAGGGGAGAGGCATGGACATGTGCTAAAATTAGTAATAAAGATGGCATCCTAATCAGCACAGGACGGATGAGTCAAATGGGGGCAGAGGGAGAAGCTACTGCCTCCAAGAAAAGGTGATGAGGGGTTGTTCCCTCGAGGGGAGTTCTGACCGCAGAGTTACAAGACAGGCTGTGGAGACTAGATCACTTGGGTTCAAATCCTGGCTCTGCCACTTAGTGATATGTGACCATGGCCAAGTTACTAAGCCTATCTGTGCCTTAGTTTCCTCTGAAAAATGAGATAAGGGTAATACTTACCTTAGGGTCCTTGTGAGGATTCAATGAGTTAATACATACACAGTGCTTAAGAAGCATCCGGTACGTAGTGAATACTGATGCTGTTGGCAGTTATTGTTAATGGATTGCCATCTCAGAGATTCTTAACACTGGGAGCATGGCTTGGGAGGAGGGGACCAAAATGTAAAAACTTCTTACAGTGTCTTTATTCCAGCTCCCTTGTAATGCTGTAAGGTCGCATAACTGCATGTTGGTAGATCTGGGCATCAAACCAAAGATTTTCAGCCCAGCACTTCCTCCATCCTTATTGGGTGGTTAACAGTAGGAGTGAAAAGAAAGGAAAAGAGAGGCATTCTAAAGAAAGGAGAACCCAGACCTGATGGCAGATTGCATGACTGCAAAGATAGTAGAGCTGACAGTTCATTGATAGACCCAGAGCTGATATTCACTGGCTGCTTGAAGCTCCATTTTGAGAATTTTACGTGTATTTTACATGTACATTTGCATGTATTAACTCAGCTTCACAATAATGCTATGAGATAGGTATTATTTTTGTCTCCATTTTACTGGTGGGATCACTGAGTCATGGAACAGATCAGAAAATTATCCAACCAAAAAGTGCAAAAAGTGGCTGGATAACAAGGATTTGGACCCAAACAGTCTGTCCCGAGATTACCGCCCCCTGCACCCCGCCTTAGCTCTGCACTGTATTACTTCTTCAGACTAGACGAGCTGGCTTGGCACAGGGTGGGGGATGGCCCAAGGAGCACAGAGAAGACCACCTTCACTGCTACTTACCCCTGTGGTGCTTTCCCTAATCCACAGAGATTGCACCTCTGGAGGACGAGGGGAAGAGGAGAATTCCTAATATACTCAAGTGTTTATAGTTCTAAACCACAGACTGAATTGTATCAGTCTCAAAATGTTTCCTGTCTATTACATTTATTTCTCCAAAGAAACTGGAACCTCCTTGAGAGTAGGGAACTGAGTTATATACTTCATTATACACTCTCTTATAATCCATAGTGGTGGGTACTTAGTGGGGTTCTGGTAAATACTGATGGTCTAATGGAAAGCAGAAGGGTTTAGGGGCTAAGGAAGGATGGTGAGGGTCCCTGAAGTATAGAGGGAGGTATTAAGCTACATTCTTAGGAACAGGTATAGCAATATTCTCGTAGCCTTGGGGCATTGCTGACAAAGATCAAAGAAACAAAACAAAGCTGCCTTTGATCCCTAAAGGGGTCTTTATGTCCCCAACCCCCAATTTTCCTATCAAATTGAGAAATTTCACAAAGCCAAGGTCACATGCATCCTTAGTTTGAATAGATGCCTCACTGGCACAGTATCGCTTGCTTCTAACAGTAAGACTGTCTTCCCCATAATCTTATTTCTTTCAGACTGAGTCCAATTTCTCTCAGAATCTGAGTGTGTGGATGGGAGGCAATTTACCTGTGTGGTTCAGAAAGTGGGACTCTTGGAGTCCCCTCAGCAGAAGCCTTGGTTCCTGGTTGTCCGATTTCCTCCGATCACTTGCCCACTGGATGCCACGAGCCATGAATTAAGAGTTAGCTTTGGTCTTAAGGAGAGACCGTGTTGTGTTTTCCTTCAGGCTGGGTTAGAGGTCTCCTCAGACTGAGGTTTCCAAGGCCATTAGTAAATGCAAAACCCTGAGCCTGGAGTTCAAGGACAAGGGTGGCTTTTCTGAGAAAGTTAGAAGGCTCTTAGGGTAAACATCTTGGCGTTCATTCCATGACCCCCATTTACTTCAAAGGGCTCTTAAATACAGCCAGGGCTGAGCACACAGGGCAGAGCTGGCTTCTGCCTTGTCTGGCGCCCAGGCTTCTGGGCTAACACTCACGCCAAGCTTGGCTGTCCAGAATCTCAGCCCTGCAACCTATCAGTCACCTTTGCTTCATTCATTTGCAAATCTCTGGTCAGCCGGTGGAGGCTGTGAAAGCCAGTGCTCAACCCCAGGCATGCAAGAGGACTCAGGATCCTTGCCTGAGCAAAACCGGGATCCTAGAAGCTGGGGTCTGCAGTGTTGACCCCATCTCCTCAGCAACTGAATTAATGCAAATTAAAACATAAAAATAAGGAAACTAGCCCCATCAGCTCAGGCTTTCTTCCAAGAAGCCATTCATGGCATGGAGCTCTGATAGGTGGAGAGAAGTAAGTACCTGACATTTCACCTGAAGGTCTTGAAAGGAGAGGAATATTCACTGTGGGTTGTTCATGGATCAGCTACAGCAGCTCCGAACTCACAGTGGGCAAAACAGTAAAACCTTGCTGGCTCTTGAGAGACTGTTTTAGCAGTTTCTCTGAGGTTGGGAGAGTAGGTCACGCCAAGACAGTAAGCTCCAAGAGTGGAGATGAATTTGTAAGACATTTTGTTACAGGAAGGCTGAAGTAAGGACAAAAAAAATCTCTACTCTCTGTAGTCGTATCTTAGCACCAAACCAATTTTTCTTTTGTGTGTTTCCAAATATTTTTTCTTACGTGGCACATCTGCCTTCACCTGCTCTATAAAGATTTCTAGAGCCTCCTAGAAACTATTATTAGGAATATAGTCCCTGTGCCACTAGCACTGACCTTGACATTTAAAAAGAGAGTTAAGAGCTAGACAGTTTTATAGTTTTCTAGATTTTTGGACTCAAGTAATTATTTTCAAATCTCAAGATTTACTAGGAAGCCCATGAGCAGAGTGAACTTGAAATTATTAAGATTTCAGAAAAATATAAAGTCCTAGTGTGTGCACTTTGTTTTTTATGGTTAATTTTGTTGCTTTTGTAGTATTTAGTATCTAGAATGCTGGATATTTTGCAGTACTCCCCCAAATTGAGATATATACTTTAAAATATCCAGAAAAAATATGTATGATGAAACTCTGAAAACTGAACTCAAATTATTTAAACAGATACTAGAAAGATTTGTTTTTCAAACAAATCTGTAGCATTTGCCCAATTCTATGTCCTATCAATTAAAAAGCATAGTTTAAAACAAACTGAAAGTGAAAATTCTTCAAAGTCCAGGGAGATAAAAACTATGATTTAAATGGAAACTATACATAATATAAAATTAACTTAATTTAACAAATTAAATGCACAGAGGAGCAGATGCATAAGTTCCATTAACTCATGGGCTCATTAGGCTAGAAGGAAACCACAGTTTATCTGGGTTTATCACAGTCTCACCAAAACGATTCCAGACAGGTGTTTATCTGACTGATTTTTAAATCATCAGGGAACGGCCCATGCAGACACTTTCTCAAGTGACCTCCTATCTCCTGCTCACCCTCCACATCTTGAAAACTACCCTGTGTTTTCTAGGTTTTGCATCTTGCTGTTTCAGGACAGTAGGTCTCTGCATGGGTCAGCCAAACACTCTCTAATTCTTGCTGCCACCTAGTGGTAAATTCAGAGACTGCAGAGTATTTGTGGAGGGAGTAGGGGGAAGGGGATGGGGAGCGAGAGGGGAAGGTGAAGGGGAGGGCGGGGAGGGGAAGAGGGGAAAGGGGGAAACGATGAAGCCCTCTGGGTCTAAGTATGAAAAAAAACGAGTTTTTTTAAAGAGCAAAAAATGATCTACATACTTTTATCTTCCTCTTGATTAATGTAAATTCTAAATAATTTTCACGATTGCTCAGTATCTACCCCAAATCAATAGAAGTTACATGGACAAGAGCAAATACACTTTTAAAATAGTCCACCTGACTTTAGGTTGGAGAGTATGTGAGAGAACCATACTGAGCTGGTCCTAAAGGGGCCGTCAGGAGCCTTTGTTTAAAGCGGGTATCACTTGAAGGAGCTCTAAGGGGGACATGATGACAGCTACCAAATTTGACAACATTTCAAGGATCCACTCGCTTCAGTTTATTCAGGTGCCTTTGGTTCAGGAAACAGAGTTACGCTTGGTTAAAAATTTTGTAGCTCAGAACTTCTGCTAAAGTAATCACAAAGCCGAGTAGCCTGAGTCGGGGGCATGCCTCCTTTGAGACCCTCTGATCCCATTGCTTTGACAGTCGAGAAAGGGAAAGTTTAACCTCTCACCAGATTTAGCTGAGTTTTGTAAGATCCTAGGCATTCCCTATGTTTTTAGCATCACCCAGCGAATTCCCACAGACCAGTGGAAGGACGCTGAACAACAAAGCTTTGAGCTCGGAAGAAAGTGATGCTTCTTGAAGGGTAAAGACCACTTAAAGCTCTGGACGTTTTAAGCATTTGCGCATCTCGTGGTAGGGTCAGTGGCCATAATAAAATCTGTTGTTTTAAATCATGGGCTTTCCACAACCAGACTGTTTTCGCCGTACTCTCTGGTTTTATCTAACTGGTTTACCAGGAGTCTGAACTCCTGCTCCTGCTGGGGACAATGAGTGAGGAATCAGGAATTTTAGAGAAGCCATCGAGCCACCAGCATGCACTGCTTTTGAGCCTTCTTTGCCCTCCTGGCTGGAGCCAGCTACACTGTCACAGTCTCTCTGGGACAGGTGTAGGCCTGGGGGAGACAGCTATCAGGATTTGGATTAGACTGTCCTATAAAGGAGCAGATTAACTGGCTCTCTGAGCCCTGAAACCCAGGTGTTTTTTTTTGCGGTGTGTGGGCCTCTCACTGTTGTGGCCTCTCCCGTTGCGGAGCACAGGCTCCGGACGCGCAGGCTCAGCGTCCATGGCTCACGGGCCCAGCCGCTCAGCAGCATGTGGGATCTCCCTGGACCGGGGCACGAACCCGAGTCCCCTGCATCGGCAGGCGGACTCTCAACCACTGCACCACCAGGGAAGCCCTGAAACCCAGGTTTTAATATTTCATTTTCTTTCTCTCCACCCCTTCCCTCTTCTTTTAAAATCCTTTCAAGCATTTGTTTTATTTTGGCAACCCCCTTGGTGACATTGGCAGTAGAATGACAGGGATAACACTTAATAGTCTGATTCCTTCAGATCAGAATCTTAAGTCACCTAGATAAGGTGTCAGAGGATGACAAGATCTGACCCATGGCTTATCCAAAATTGTGGAAGAGAATTATTTTGCAGAGAAAATCTCTAAAAAAGACATTTCCAATCTTGCTACTATTTTGATTAAAACTCTGAAAACCCACAACTTGTAGCACAGGGTCAGTGTCCTTAACACCTGACCTCTGCTCACTGTTTCTACCACCCACCTTGCGTTTTTCACGCCACAAAACCCAAACGACTTACAGTTCTGCAGCATCACTTCTGTGGCTTGTTAGACATCATTCCCTCTTTCTGAAATATAAACCCCACCGCCCCATCCTTTGTCTACAAGACTGACATTCATTCTAAGACTTCTTAGGTACTGCCCTTTCCTTTGTACTGTCTTTGCCTGTGTGCACAGCCGGTGTTGTCTTTTTATGATCACGTGATTACTCATCACATGCTCCTCTGCGCTATCAGAGGATGAGGTCCTTGACCTTCTGGGCCTGCCATGGCTGTGAACACACGGTGGCAAGGCTGCCCTCATCAGTCAAGTGTGCTGAACTGAACTGAAGCTCTCAGGGAAATCAGAAGACCCCGCAGACTACCTTCCGAGGGCATTCAGGTTTTAAACAGACACAAGGGATCTGTCTCTTACCTTCCTTCCAGCTATGTAACCTCCTGAGGCGCCAAAGCTTTTGGTGAATGTGCCCATAAATACATCAATATCTCTGGGGTCCGTTGCAAAGTACTCCATCACACCCCGGCCAGTTGGGCCCACGGACCCAATACTGTGAGCTTCATCTATGTAGAGGTAAGCCTTGTATTTCTTCTTTAGAGCCACGATCTGGGACAGACGCACGATGGAACCTTCCATGCTAGGGCATAAGAAGAAATGCTCGTCACCCGTGTGTACCCTCCGGGGAAGGTCTGTGTCACTCTCCCTTTCAGCACTTCTCAGACAGCCTGCCCTGACACCAGACAGGGATGACAGGGACATGCCATTCCTTTCTTCTGAAGGCATATTTTATTTGGTGGAGACAACCCTCTCAATCTTGTAAGGCTGCTCTGGCATTATTTCACTTGGGGAAAAAAAATAATTTACATTCAGTGGATTTAAGTGCTTTGAGTTGTTATAGCTAATTCCCAAGTAAACAGCTCACTGCATTGTTGATTAATTTATTAAATTGATTAGTTCAATTTATTTATTAATAAATTTATTAACTTATTAATTTATTAAGTCAATAAATTTATATAAATTTATTTATTTATATTAAATTAAATAAATTTATTAAATTATTAATATTAATTTATTAAATTAATTTATTAAATATTAGTAAAGCCGACTAGCATAACTAGACTGACCATGTTGGATTCTAGGTATTTTGCTAGTTTTAATTAAATTGCTCTATGTTGATGTGTCTTCATCAGCCTGCTACTGTCTACTTGGTCAGTTCTGTCTGACCTAAACTCAGTGCTTGAATTGCCAAAGATTAAAAGAAGGAATTAAAAACACATAAAAGAACTTTAAGACATCATAAATTTATTAAAGCATGGGAGAAAGTCCTTAGGGTCTCCTGTTGAGTCCTCACTGAACTCAAAGGCTTATTCGAGGCTTCTGGTGGTGTCCCTTCTTTTCCTTTAGGGCAATGGTTCTCAATCTTGAGTGCATCAGAGTCCCTTGAATGGTTTGTTACAACACAGATTGCTGGGTCCCACCCCCAGAGTTTCTGATTTAGTAGGTCTGGGATAGGCATCGAATTTGTATTTCTACCAAGCTCCTGGGAGATTCCCCTACTGCTAGTTGGAGACAGCACTCTGAGAACCACTGCTATAGATCAACTTTTGTTTTAGCCCTAAGTGCTTAATTTTTCATGGTACTATTGTAATTTGGTAAATTTACATGGTATTGTAAATTGCAAAAACACTTCTAGTCCTCCAGCAAAGGGAAAGACAGGAAATAAATAATCAAGTGAAATGAACATTGATATTTACATGGCCCCTCTTGGAACCCAATGGATTTAGAAGAACTCTTGTCTTTAATCAGTTCTCAGAACACTTCCTAAGCTGTGTCCACAGCTCACACAGTTTTGACTGCACTGACAGGCGAGCTCTACGAAAACACAGACTCACACCCTCACCCCCATGAAGGAGCTTGTCAAACAGTTCAAGCAACCCATCAATTTAGTTCAAGAACTAGTCAATTGACACAGAGTTGAACTCCCTTCTTCTTAATTAGTTTATGTATTTATTTAGTGTATTAAAAAATAATTTAAGTGTTAGGTCGATTCAGTCAAAACAGTCCAGCTGTTACATAGTTACCCAGACCAACAGGTGTTGGATGCTTATTCTTTTTTTTTAAAGGACTTTATTTTTCAGAGCAGTTTTAGGTTCACAGCAAAATTGAGTAGAGGGTACAGAGATTTCCCATATACCCCCGCCTGACATATGCATACCCTCCCCCATTATCAACATCACCCACGAAAGTGGTACATTTGTTTCAACTGATTAACCTACATTGGTGCATCATCATCTAAAGCCCATAGTTTATATTAGGGTTCACTCTTGGCGTATGTGAAACCAAGCAGGACCCTGTGGGGCTCCTGGGCACAAAAGCCTTCTGTCCCCTGTTTCTTATTTGTAGGAAATAGGTTTCAGCTTTCATGACCTACCCTGCGCTCCAAAGGGCAGGTTCAAACAGTTGCTAATCAGGGAAGAGAGGGGATGCAGAGACAAGGGAAGAGCAATCAAGAAACAATAGTTCGGGGCCTCCCTGGTGGCGCAGTGGTTGGGAGTCCGCCTGCCGATGCAGGGGATGTGGGTTCGTGCCCCGGTCCGGGAGGATCCCGCGTGCCGCGGAGCGGCTGGGCCCGTGGGCCGTGGCCGCTGAGCTTGCGCATCCGGCGGCGGGAGAGGCCACGACAGTGAGGGGCCCACATATCGCAAAAAAAAAAAAAAAAAAAAGAAACAATAGTTCGGCCTTGGGTCAGGGTCCTGGTTCTGCCTCAAGGGTTACACATAACAATATCTTTGAGCTCTTCTCATATTTATCCATTTGCCAACTGAAGGACATTTTGGTTACTTCCAAGTTTTGGCAGAACTAAAACCCCCAACAAATGGAAGATGTTAACTACTTGATGAAGCACTCTTCATTCCAGAGAAGTCAGTTTGATAACCTCCAGAACCACAGAAGCTCATCAAAAGACCACCAAAGGCCAGATTAAAGGAATGCAGGCCCTGCACACACCCTGATCCTTATTAGCAACTCCATCCTTGAACCATTGTTATAAAACTCCTCACCAAGTCCCCCCAGGTTGGGACACACAGTTTTGAGGGCATTAGCCCCTGTGTCCCCCTTTGTCTGGCAAAGCAATACAGTTATTCTTTTCTATTTCACCCAAAGCTCTGTCTCCAAGATTTGATTTGGTGTTGGTGCACAGAGGCTGAGTTTTTCTATAGTAATGCCTTTCCCAGAACATTATGTAAGCTGGAATCATACACTATGTAACATTTTCAGATTGGCTTCTTTCACTCAATAATATGCATTTAAGTTTCCTCCACATCTTTTCATTGGCTCCACAGATCATTTCTTTTTAGTGCTGAATAAAATTCCATTGTTTGGATGGGCCACAGTTTATTTAGACATTTGCCAACTGAAGGACATTTTGGTGGCTTCCAAGTTTGGGCAATTATAAATAAAGATGCTACAAACATCTGTGTGCAGGGCTTTGAGTGGACACAAGTTTTTAACTCCTTTGGGTAAATACCAAGGAGCATGATTGCTGGATTGTATGGTAAGAGCATGCTTGTAGGAAACCACCAATCCGTCATCCAAAGTGGCTGGACCATTCTGCATTCCCACCAGCAGTGAATGAGAGCTCTGGGTTACTGCACATTCTCTGCCAGCGTTTACTGTTGTCAGTGTCCCAGATTGTGAACTTCTAACAAGTGTGTATCTCATTGTTTTAATTTGTATTTTCTCCGATGGCATATGATGCGGAGCATCTTCGGAGCATCTTTTCACATGCTTATTTCCATCTGTAAATCTTTGGAGAGGTATCTGTTAAGGTCTTTGGCCCATTTTTTAACCCAGTTGTTTGTTTTCTTATTGTTGAGTTCTAAGAGTTTTTTGTATCTTTTAGATAATGATGCTCTATCAAATGTATCTTTTGCAAATAGTTTCTCCCAGTCTGTGGCCTGTCTTTCTAATGCTCTTGGCATTGTCTTGCAGAGCAAAACTTCTTAATTTTAATGAAGTCCGGCTTATTACATTTGTGCTTTTCACAAGGGCATTCTGAAAGGCTGTTTTCAGATTTTAATGACATGAAGACCAAATAGAGTCATCTTCTCTTATAGAAGTTTGCAAGTGAATTCCAGTATTTTCTTAGAGTAATTGCTTGTTAAAGTTGTTTCCATTGAAGGGGAGGAGGTCCAGCAGGCTGACTGCCTAAGCTGAGATGGTAGCCACACCACTTACTAACTGAGGACTTGGGCAACTTATTTGCTGTTCTCTGCCTCGGTTTCCTCGGATATAAAATAAGCATGATGATGGCACACTGCTCATAAGGCCTTTATTAGAATGACTAGAAATAATACTTGTAAAGTGTCTGATGTATAACGAGCACCCATTGGGTTGTTCTTGTTCTCAGGTGGAGCTTAGGAGGAAATGGTAGCAACGAGGCCTAATTTGAGAAATTGGGAGCCCTTGACAATGCTCTGTGTTGAATTTTCCAGGAAAAAAGCATATGGGCGTCATACATAATAAATGGCTGTATGCCCTCAAAATTCTAGAATCTTCTCATCTTTTAAAACGTTCTAAATTGGTAACACAAACATGCTAAAAGCCTGACATGTCACAAATAGCCATCCTTTGTTCTGGAACTGAGTTTGGCAGGAACCGGAGTTAATGTTGAACAGTTTGCAGACACTCTGGGCAGCTAATTAGCCATCTTTGCTTGGGCCGATCTAGCTGATGTTAGGAGCCTGCTCACCTGGTTTATATTTCTTCCTCGAAGATTAATGACTCCACAATACTGCTGATTTGAGGAGTTAATGTAGGGCACACATGAGTCCTAGAGGGAATTCAGTTTTCATAAAGAGCTATATTTACCCACACTAAGTTTTCATTCTCTCAATGTGACCAAATTTGAATTGAACCTTTCCCTGTAGTGAGATATTGAGTTTGGTGTTTACATGAAAAGGCTATCTATGTTATTGCTGCAAATTGCTGTCAAAGAACACCGGGCCAGAAACGATTTAAAAACAAACCCAAACAAACTTAAGAACAGTGTTTTATTCTTTCTTCCTAAGTGGAAGGTTGTGTTTTCTTTTGACTTGAATAGAAAAAACAAAAACAAAAACTAAAATACAACTGTAGGTAAAGAGAATTCCACCAGTTAATTTGAAGTTTTGTGCAGGGACTTGAATGATTCTTAAACCAGCAAGTCAGTGAATAATTTCTTTATATCTTTTCTATTACATAATGTATTACCTAAGTGACAAGACTCCTTTGTGAAATCTCCCTCTCACCACCTTCTCCTCCATCTATAAACCATGTTACCCACTGGCAGGATTGGGATTTAAACCACTGGTTTGCCAACTTACATGGTGGAAAAATCTCCTTGGTGGGCCCTGAGTACAATCCAAGGGGAGAAAGGAAGGTGGAAAGAAAGGGGAAAGAAGGAACTAAGCTTAATTAAAAATAAAGTAACTACTGTTTTCTTTTTCTTTGTCTTTGTTTGAACCACAGAGGTATAGGTGAGAGTTTACCACTGAAGATCTCAGTCCTTAAACTTACATTATTTTGGGCAGGAGAATGGCTTACATCCTTAGAGAAAACGGCATTCTGAGATTTCAACATTTGTTTATATGTGTATTTTTGGAAAAGGTTGGATAGAATTTCGTGATTAATTTTATTTTGAAAGTTTGGGCTCCAGCTATGCTAGTTTATACCCCCAGTTATTTGGGACCTCTCTGCCCATCTCTAGTGTATTTTTGAATAATAATGAGATTTTTTTGACCACCATGAATCAACCACTAGGCTTCTCAGAGACACAAAACTAGAAGACTGTGACTTTAAAACAATACTTAAAAGAAAATGCAGGTGAGAACACTAAAATAATACTATTGTACTTCTAAATCCCAAATTATGGAATCACGGAACTCTACACTTCAAGTTTCAATCTCTCGATTTTACCGATGAAGAAACCGAGCCCTAGACAGGTTGATGGTGAAAGTCAAATGGATGACCTTGCATTTTCCACATTTACTTCACTGAATGTGGACATGTGGGCTGATTCTTCTGTTTACATTGGGTCTCTGTCCCAGCAGGGCCACCTGGTTTGAATCCCAGCTCTGATTTATCTCAGTTATCTGCCCAGGGGCAAGTTATCTAGGTCTTGGAACCTGAGTTTCTTCATCCTCACAATAAACTTAGGAGTACTGGAGGCCTTACTCAAAATAGCACATGTGAAATGTTTAGCAATAACACATGATAAATGTGAACCCTGTCCTCTGACACCCATCCTTCAGGGGTCAAACGGCTTCGGCATGCAGATGGCCTATTGTTTTCAACTGAAAATAAATTTAATGGTGAAGACAGCTACCCTTGGTTGTGGGTTTACTATGTGCTGGGCTTCTTGAAGCACTAGCTTATGTCATCTCATTTAATTCTTAGAAAAGAACCCTATGAAGGGCACATAGTTATAGGCAGCAACACAGGATCTACACCCCTGTCCCAGGCCTCCCTCCAAATCCTGACTCCCCTATAGTCTATATATAAATATTAATACATACATGATCTATGGATGATGATATTATTATTGCTACTATTATTATTATTATCATAACTGCTTTTGTGGAGTTTACTGACTTCTTGGATTTGGTATCTAGCCTTTTCTACCTTGATACCTACCTGAAACTGTCTGATTTGGCTGACTGCTCTTTTTTGGAGTTCTGAAGAAATTAATTTATGTGAGCTGTCTGTGGTAGGGAGACTTTGCCCATGGGGGCAAACCACAGCCAGAGATAAGAAAGATCTGGGAGTGAAACTCTAAGGAGGTTTTGTGTGGATTCTAACAAGGTATACATCCATAATACATCTCTGGAAAGTAAAAGCACATTTGTGAACTACTGGTTTCACATTCGTAACCCTGGCCCTTTGGAAAATCTTGTGGGAAAAAATTTCATTTTCTGGTGAGAGCAGCAAATGAGAAAATCCATATGTTCCAGAACTCTACTCTAAACTAGTCTTATTTTACGGACGAGGAAACTGAAGTCCCAGGAGGTACTGAGGCCTGTTTAAGAAGGGTCCTGTTTCCTATCTATGAATGAGTGCCTTTAGGTCACAGTCTCACTTAAAGACAAGATTCCTGCACAGGTGAGAAAAAAGGAACATCTATGAGAAGGCAAGTCCATGGACAGTGGAGACTTCTCCCTGTATACATGTCGGGTTGATGGAGCTGCTGTGGTAGATTGCCTCCAAAGATGGTTGCCTGTAAGTCTTCCGCTCCCTGTATACACAAGCCAATCGTCCCATCAAGAGGTGGGGTCTGTTTCTCCTCCCCTTGAATCCGGGCTAGACTGGTGTCATGCTTTGACCAATAGAATATGGCATAGTGATGTTGTACCAGTTCTGGTCCCAGCCCTTAAAAGGCTGGCAACTTCTGCTTTCATTCTCTTGGAGGCCAGCCACCATGTTGTAAGGAAGCTCGAGCTAGACTGCTGAATGAGAAAAACCTACATATAGAGAAAGCACCCCAGAGAAGAGGAGAGAATAAGGCACCTCAGTCAACAGCCAGTACCAGGAGCCCACATGTGTGAGTGAGGTCATTTTGGCTGCTAGCCCCAGCCAAACACCCCATTGAAAGCAGCCACCTGAATGACCCCAACCAATGTCACATGTTGGTCCGGACAACCAACCCACGGTAGTGTGGGAAATACTAACTCATTGCTGTGTAAGCCACTGTGCTTTGAGGTGGCTCGTTTCACAGCAGTAGGTCACTGGGCAGTCGCCATTGCTAGTGAACCCTAAGCTGTGGTCTGTTGCCACCCTGTTTTGGAGCCGAAGTCCACACCTGGCTCCCCTATCCTCCTGATACCATGGTAGGACCCAGGCCCAACATAGCCATTAGCAGAGGGGTTTCTTTGTGTAACTGATGGGAATATTTGACAGTGAAACGCTGGTGGTCCCCTTAATTTCAGCCATGATCAAAGTACTTAGAACACAACTTCTCTTTAGTGAAGCCAAGTTCTGTTTATTTGCAGTTGGGTTCTGTTTACTCTGGTTAAAGGAGATGCCCGTCTGCTCTCCCTCTGCTGATCTGTACTCCCACCAGTCCAGGCTTGATTGACAGGTGTTTAAATAAGGTCTCCACTCCCAGGCTGGCATCTGGCACAAATCACACAGGGAGAAAGACCTGTGCTCGAGGCTATGACGGCCCAGAGTCAAGATGAGATTATTTCCTAAAAGTAGCAAGTTCAGGGCCAGTGAGTGGTTACATTATTCTACAGCAGGGTTTCCCAAACTCGGCACTGTTGACATTTTGAGCCAGATAATTCTCCATTGCAGGGGACTATCCTGTGCATTGTAGGAGGTTTAGCAGCATCCCTGGCCTCTGCCCACCAGATGCCAGGATGCCAGCAGTACTTTACTGCAGTTGTGACAACTGAAAATTGCCAGATGTGCTTGTGTGGTGCCCCCAGGGACAGATTCCATTAGCTGCAGAAAAAAAGGCTGCTCTTTATCTCAAGCCTCCTTTGCAGCCAGGCTTCCCCTTGTTGGGAAGTTAAGCCCTCATTCCCTTCCTTTTAATCTTGTTCACTTTCCCATAATTAACCCATAGGAAACATTTCCCTTGCTTCTTCTAACATTAAGATTGAGAATTGATTTAGGAGTGAGTAACTCTGAAGTAATGTTTCCTTGACTCATGGACTAGGGCATCCAACAGAAGACAAACTTGGGAGCAGTTTCTACCTTAGTAACGATCGTCAATTCAGACATAGAATGAAGCAAATTCAATCACAACCAGCAATATAAAAGTGCAGCTCTGACTGGCTTAGTGGATGTTTTGTCTGCTCAGCCTAAAAGCTGTGGGAAGACTGAGCGTGCCTTCAGATGCTAAGACCATCTCCCCCTCTTCCCAGCTCTGCATCAAGAATTGTACTCCAGGTTGGTCTTACCTTGGAGAAAATGTGCAGGCTTTTTGTAATCTGATGCTAACAACTGGCCACGTTCAGCAAGCCTAGAGTTTGGGTGCACTATTGAGTAGGGGCAGCTGGGTGCCCACCAGCAGTATCCACTTTCCTGCCATTGTCATAAAGGCAAAGACTGTTCTGAGGTTGAATAACCCATCCCCTAAAAGCCTTTGAAACTGTGGGGCAGCCAAAGGTAGTGGAACCAATGCAAGTTAGCAACGCTCTGTCAGGACGTTTCTGAAGACACCTTCTTAAGTACGCCAGCCTCCAGGGTGCTCCGCCATATGTATGGTCATTGAAAAGACAGGTGACCCAAGACCTGATGGTTCACATTGATAGCTCTGACTCAGGTCCCTTCATAACACCTATATCTAACTCATTTTTCCATTTAACTGGGAGAGGTCAGCCTTGCCCCATCTGTCAGCTCGCTGTGGGCCTCAGTGTGTGAATAGGTCTCCGGTTATTTACATACCTGTAGATGCCCTCCACTAGGATGAGAATCTTTTTCCAGGCTCTCCGGGTTCGAGGCTGGCCATAGATTACAGCATCTCTCAGGAGCTTCTCTAGGCTTTGCATATCTTTAAATAATACACACACAAAAATTGAGTCATGAGAGGGCTTTTCTTTTCCTCCTTCATTTTCTTTTTGGAGGAGGCAGCAGATATTTTAGGCTCAGGCTTGGACCTAAACTTTCAGAGAGCAAAGTCGAAGTCAGAGAACACCTTGGGGGAGAGACAAGTCTAGTTTTTAGTAAAAGTTAACTCTGACAAGCTGAGTAGTCAGGCTTGTAAAGCCAGCAGAATAAACCTCTAGAGGAAGCACGTAGTTTCACAGGCTCTTCAAAGGCTGTCCTCACCTGCCTTAGCAGAGATTGCAGCTTTACATTAAATGCATTTCTTAAACTTAAGCTTTGTTACCAGGTGAAGATTAGCCCTGAGGGATATCATTAACTAACACTCACTCAATCGATGGTTTAGCCACCAGCATGGTAGAGTTTAGCTGGTTTTGCACAGAACGGCAGCATTTTGAGCTGGCAGGGGTCTCACTGCCTAACTTTTGGGAGGTGGGTAAATGGATGTGGTGTGGAGGCCATGTTCTGGTACAAAGCAGTCCCAGTTTCTTTCAAAACTTTAAGAAAGTTTTGAAAGAATCATCATGTGGGGAATCATCATTTGGGGAATCCTCATTTGGGGAACCAGTAAAAATGTAGATTCCTTGTCTCACTCCTAGAGATTCTGGACCAGTTCGTGTGGGATGGGGTCCACAAGGGTTCATGTTTGGGGTCTTGGCACTCCTGGGTCCATCACTCAAAGCCAGACCTATATTTTGAGCTACATAACTGTTTTCCAACCACATTTTAGAAAAAAACACGGGTACCTCAAAATCAGCATTTCCAAGATAGAACTTGTGGCAGATGGCATCATTGGCCCCAATTCCTACACTCCCCCAATTTGAGTCCTTTGATATGTGACCTCAGAGCCCTCCCACTAAAGGAATGGAAGATGTTTCCCTGCCTCTGGCTTGGGTTCAGCCAAGTGACATGCTTTGGCTAATAGAATCCAGGGAAGAGAGAGCAGGTTAGTTCCATGCCTCGGCCTTAAGAGGCCTTACACGTTTCTGCTTTTCCTCTTGTGCTTCTACCAGTAACATGAAAAGAGCACTCCCAGGCTAGTCCACAGGTCCTGGGAGGGTCCCAGGAGAGGCTGAGAGACAAATAGGGCACAGTTAGCCCAGCCCACTTGCAGTCATGAGTAAGAAATAAGTGATATTTGTTGGATGCTACTGGGGTTTCGAGGTTGTTTGTTACGGGACTAGCTAAAGAATGCAGTCTCCAAAGGCCGTTCCTGCTCTAGTCCCTGGCTTTCTTCCTCATATGGTTTCTCAATATTCCTCAGCACACAGCCTCCCATCTCTCTTACATGCTTCCCTGCTCTTGTCTGTCTGGAGAACCTCCACCCACCACGCAAGCCTCCACTCAAACTCTTTTGGCCAATAGAACAGATTTTCTTTCTTCTTTCTGTCCTTGATGACTCATCTATTCTGGATTTAAGCACTCATCACACTGCTCATTATTTGAGTTCATGTCTCTCCTCCAGGGAAGGCAGGGACCTTATCTTATTCATCCTTTTAGCCCTAGTCCTAATGCACAGTGCTAGAGCTAAAGCGAGATACGATAGTTGAATCACTTGTCTTTTCGTGGAAAAGATTGTAGACCAGGAAACAGGAAAGGGAATGACACTTTGGGACCTAAATAGGAATTATGAGAAAGGATAATTGCCTCATGCCTGCAGTAATATTTCTTTAATTAACTGTGTTTTTTTTTTTTTTTTTTTTTGGCGGTA